TTGGAGATTTATTGAAAAGTATCAATTAATTCAGAAGTGTCAACTCAAGGCTCATGCGCCAGATCTGGCCACGGAGTGCTTAGATTTGTCTCATGGGGCCAGCCTGGAAACAACCCACAGTGCCTCTGCAAGTGAAAATGGAGCTTGAGGCCATTTTCACTGGCAGAGGACTGCAGGAGGCTGTCATAATCATAATCACACACTCTCCATGGCTCCATTTTCAAAGGGCTATCAAAACAAACTAAAAACAAAAGGAGAAATGTGTCCCCATTTGCATTGGAGAATGCAAGAAGGAATAGGAAAAGACAAAAGAGGAAAGACAAAGAAAAAGATGGGAAGATGGGAAGATGGGAAGAGAGCAAGGAAGGAAAAATAAGGAAAGAGGGAAAGGAAAAAGAAAAGAGAATGAAGATGAAAAGAAAAAAGAAAGGAAGGAAGGAAGGAAGGAAGGAAGGAAGGAAGGAAGGAAGGAAGGAAGGAAGGAAGGAAGGAATAATGAGAGTGATGGAGGATCTCAGGGAAATCCTGCCTTAGCGCTTGGCCACTAGAGGTAACCCTGACACGAGTTCCATGTCAGACAAACCATAACCATACCCACTCCCTGCCACACTCACCATGACCACACCCGATCTCCAAGATCAAACAATCCTAATGAAATCGAGTTTGACACCCCTGAATTAATTGGTGGCTGGAAATGCCACTGCTTTTATTTTGCTTACAGTTGCTTGCTATGCCTGGCCTGATTGCATAGAAGATCATAGCTACCTGCACTAATCTGATCTGTTGTAACCCCAGATTTTTTACTTTTTGGCTTTCCTGCTGTTTGTGTGATTTATTAATTCTGTTCTCGTAATCAAAGGTGTGTTTTATATTGATGGATCATTAGTTGTTAAGAACTTGCAAACTTTATTGCACTTGTGTCTCTCTCATTTTTTAAAAAATCCATAAAGTATGAAGATCTCACCAGTCCAAACTGTCAGGCTAGACTATTTTTTTTTAAATAAAGTTTTATTTGGGTTTTCACACATACAAAATACAAGTAAAACATCTTTTTTGAAAATAGCATGGTCCCGGGTTGAACTTCTTTATACAGACACAAAACTCAATTTCATACTCCTTTTTGTGTTCTATTCCATAACTTATACTATTCTACATTTTCTATATAGTTTTTCCCCTCTTAATTTTCTCAATTTTATTTTGATTATCTCATCTCAATTCAAATCATTATATTTATACTTTTGTCTGTTCTGTTTCAATTTCATATTATCTTTTCTCATTAAACAAATTTTCTCCTGTAGTTACAAATTGGAGTATGACACCTTTATATCTTTTAATTACATCCATTCAACTCTTATTTAAACTTCAATATATACCTTAAGGTTATGACCTTCAATATAATACATAATACATAACTTCCAATCGAATTGTGCTTGGTACATTCTTATAATACACACTATATTCTTTTTTTAAAAAAGATTATAAATATATGTAATTATAAACCCTCATTCCATTCCAATTCAGTTCTATCATTAATAATCATTAAAATCTTAACATCTTTAACACTTCTTTTCAATTGAATATCATATTTCCTTAAAGACACGTATAATCTCCATAATTAATTTTTCCCTTCTTTCTCTTCACATATGTTTTGTAAATCATTAAATATTCATTTTGTTACATTTATTTATTGACAAGCATTCCACTGAATTACGATAGCTATTTTATCAAACATTTTAATCATACATTGTTTCATATTTTCTAAAATTATTTCTGTTTCTAATATAACAATACTATCTTATGTACCTTTGCAGAATCCCTTTTTCCACTAAATTTTCACCCATTATCTCTAAATAGGCCCTGTTTCTCTATATTTTGTTTCTGTCCTTTATAACTTCTTTTCCTTTCTTTCTTCCCTCTCATCTTCTTCCTCCTCTTTTTACCCCCTTGTTTCTCTACTTCTAATTCTCTCTTCTGCATTTCCCTCTTCTGTTGCTTTCTGATTTTATACTTATTTTTCACTCTATTTTTTTTTTTTTGGAGTTGTTTTTCCCAATCTTAAACTTTCCATTCTCTTTCCCCCCTTTCCTTTTTTCCCACACCTAAGATTACTTGTTCATTAAAGATGGCTTCTTCTTTGTCACAATCTTCTTGTTCTGCAGGCATTTCTTGTTGTTTCTCATAATTCCAAATGTCCATTTCTAAAAACTGAAATATGAAGCCAAAAGGACCTCTCCCTTCTTGTGCATCTTCTTTGTACTTTTTAAGTTCCATTTTCAGTTCTTCTAAAAGTGGAGCCATTTTAAACAGTTTTAAACAACCACCCAATTGATTTTAGTCATTCAAATCAATAACCAAAAATCCAGAAATCATCAAGTAATCCAAATAGTCCTAAGTTATTTCTTCTTATTTCTTTTTCCACTTTCTCTTCCTGGGGTTTTTGTTGTGATATTTCAGTTAAAATGTATCTTTTGGAAGTCTTGTTGAGATTTTGCTGTAAGTTCTTTTTAATTCCAGACAGTCTCCTCCCTTCCAAATCCTGCCCTTTTATTCTTTTTCTCTCCTTTCCTGTTTTCAAAAGCTGTTGATTATCCAGAAATCTTTATTATCCCTTTGATTTTTTATTTTCAGCATTAAATGCCTATTAATGTCAAAGTGGATTTTTTTCCATTTTCTTGCTTAAGTCTCTTAGCTGTCAGTATAGGAAAAGGAAAAAAAAAAAAAACCCAAATCTTTTCCCTTTTCTCTCTCCTTTGCAGCTTTTTTAATAGTTTCAATTCCAGGGTACTTTATTTGTTCCTTTTGCTGTTTGACCCAGTCAACCAAAACTTTCTCTTCTTATCTTTCTCCTGCACATTCTTTTCAGGTTGAGTTCTTCTTTGTGGTGGCCATTTCTGACCACCGCTACAACTGCCTTCAGGAAAGGGAGTAATGGCCAGCTGGGGAGGAGAGATGCGGCTCTCCTCAACCCTGCAGGCAGTCTCTCCCTTCTTCACCACCTCTACGGGGTGGCTTAGCCCCGAAACCAGCCAGCTCGGGGCGCTCCAGTGGCGAGCACAGATCAAAGCCTCACAGAGACAAGGTTTCGGTCTGTTGCCAAAGAAGCTCAAACCAGAAGTCGCCAGGTTAGGCTATTTTTGTAATGTTAGCAAGTATACAAAGACAAAAAAAAAAAAAAAAGAGTAATCCAAAGACAAAGGTATTCTTTAAAATCAAAATGAATTTCATGAAATGGATATTCAACTCTTTTGGATGATAATTTTACCTTCCATGGTTCAAGTTTGCAACTTTGGTACATTTTTAAGTTTAGCTCTAAATACAAAGGCACCGTTTATTGCAGGGGTGTCAAACTCATAGCCCGCAGGCGGATGCATCATGCACTGGCCATGCCCACTCCTGGTTTAGTGAAGGGGGAAAAAAGTCATGATACAACACATGATGACAATGTGACACCGCGAGTTTGACCCCCTGCTTTAGTGCATTGTCAATTTTCCTTATGCAAATAAAGCAGCAATACAATGTCTAACGATTTGGGTTTGTTCTTGAAAATGTATTTCACAGTTTCTTCTAACCCAGAATGCTGCAGCAAAATTAAAGCTGATTATAGGTGAGTGCAAGTTTGTTACATTTTCATTGGTTAACAGTTCTCATTTCAAGGTGTATTTTATGATCTATGAAGCCCTATCTGTATAAGCACATTCTTTATAATCTACAACAGAGGCTCTTCTTTTTTGCTTCACCATCATCAAGCTTCTCAAATAATAATTGCATAGATCTTTGAGGACATTTGAGGAACTGCCAGCAGGCTAATGTTTCAATCCTTTCCAAACAGTAGAGAATGTGACAAAAGACCAGTACCTTCTGTTAAAAGCAAGAAGTGAAAAATACTACATATCAAAAAGCTGGCTTTTTATTGTCAGATGTAGGCATTAAAGATCTTGGACCAAATATTGCATCATATCATAAAGGACATGTAGTCAGTTTGGTCAATAAATGTTTGTATTACTTTACATTGTTTATTTATTCCTTACAGAGTTAACACCCTTAGTTTTGGTTAATAAATGTTGCACACAGTGGGTGTCATCAGAAATATTTCAATAAAATCATTTCATTGTTATTTCCCTACAAATTGGTTACAAAATAAAGTTTCATTTGCAGAGAAAAGGACTTTTGTGCCTTTCATTTTGGGACAGGTAGTAGTACCGTCTACTTCCAAATCTCACTGAGGTCAGATTTCAGTAATAAAGAAGAATATTTGTAGTTTGGGGTTGACATGAGGGGTCTTTGGTGCTCTCTGAGTTTGCTTGTTTTCCTGCAGACCAGGGGTGGGATTCTACCAGTTTAGTCCTGTTCACGTAAACCGGTAGTTATGGCGACAATTTGGTCCCGCCCACTGCACCTGCTCTATTCTGTCCTTTATTTCCAGGGTTTTCAGCTCAGTTGTTTGGCTCAACACAGCGGATTGCCGCTCCTCAGCAGGACTGCAGCAGAAGTTTTAGAGCTGAAAAAGCAGAGTTTTTCAAAAGCTGCACGCATGCAAAGCGTGCATTTGATGTGCGTGTGTGCAAAGTGTGCATGTGCACAGAAAGCACATGCTCATGAAATCAGTTGTTATACTGGTTGAATTGCACCCCTGCTGCAGATGTTTCATTACCTAAATGAAATCAGAGGGCACCAAGGACCCCTCATGTAAACCCCAAACTACAAATATTCTCCTTTATTAAATCCCTACTGTCTTGGAGTGGCACATTTTCATATAACTGCTAAAATATGAATTAAATCTATGAAGTATAGTTGACATTTCACTTGTTTATGGAGCTACTTTCCTTTCTATTTTCATCTTATAATAGAAAGCACTTTCAATTATGACATATTTGCATGCATTATGTAAGTTGTCTTATATTGCCTAAAGGACATTAATCTATTTTTTTTCCTAAGGAAGTCAATGGCTATGGATTACATCCATGTGAACACCTACAATTATTCTGTAAAGGTAGACTTACCAACAAAGAGTTGGCTGTTGAGCTGCAAACGGATATGCCCATCAGATGGAGCTGCATAAGTCCTTTGAGGAAGCTGGTCTACTTGTAGAGACGCCTCTTTGATGTTTCTTTCAGCCTTCACATAGTGCCACTGGTTGTCATTTAAGGGAATAGGTGACTGCACTGTTATTTCATTAGGCCCATTTCCCACATCAAATGAAAATGTCACTTCAAGTGGTGCTGTGAAAGTTAAAAATAACTAAGATGCTTTAGAATGGCAAGCACACACACACAAAAATCACAAAAGTTTAAAAATAATACTGAAAACATGGTATATCTCTCTTTTTTGGTTATAAATAAAAGACAAGATCAATGTAGTTTGTTGTAAATATGACTATACATTTATTTTGATGTTCTTATTGGATAGATGCTAAAATAATACTTTATTAAAACTCAAAAAATAATTTAGGTGTAAAATTACAGTAGAAATAATGCATGTAAATATTAACCAGCTAACTTTAATTTGTTTCTGAAGGACAAATATGTACGGCGATTTGAATTGCTGCAAAAAGAATAGTATATTTAGCTGAAATATTGTATTGGACTGGTATTACACTTAGTTTCTGTTACATAATTTTAAAAACAATTCTAACCTATCTGTAATTATTTCAAGAGTACGGAGTATAATTTAAATATCAACAATAGATGTCAAATATTTTTATATTTGGGTATAAATGCTTCCATTTAAAACAAACAAACAACTGCCATAAATTATCCAATTCAATAGTGTTTTGGAAAAGGTTCTTATCTACCCATAAAACTTGTACTTATTCAACTCCCAACATAGATCTCAACTAAAGCAAAAATGAAAATTCACATCAGTTAAAACAGGCAATGCAACAACTTGACACAGCCAAACTCACTGTAGATGTTGTCATACAAAATTTCTAGAACTCAGTAAATATTTCATATTCAATTACAACCATTTTTAAAATGCTATTTGATTTGGCCTAGATATGGCTAGGAAAATCACTACATCACTCCCATGTCCCTTGGAAGTCTTGGCAATGCAATCCTGTTTTTTATAAGAAATAACTTAGCATGGAGTAGTAAAGTCATTTATAGTCAGAGTTTACTACATTGATGAGAACCAGCCAATTGATTTTTGCTTGTATGTCACAATTAAGGGAACTTATTTTCCAATCATTTTGGAAGCGGGGCTCTTTCCTGAAATCAGGTATTGACTCTGGCATAAAAATCAGTGACACTGTTAGGTGCTTAGAACAAAACAGCTTTGGGATAACAAAATAATCAAATTAAATATGTTGGACCAGATATATAATCTGTACAATGTTCAGTGAAGTTTGCAATTTCCTATAAACTTCTGGCACTTTTAGCAACTATCTGAACCTACTGCTGATGTCTTTTGCTCCCTTCTACTTCCTTTTCTTTTTTCTTGGTTAAGTATTTGGAAATGGGACTATTAAGATAACCTATAACCTTGAACGCTGCATAAGGATCACCCTTATTATTATTATTATTATTTTAAAAATAGATAAAAAAAGCATGGACTTTTAAAAGAACAAATGCATTCAGAAATTAATATTTATGTATATTTAATTTGATTATTATTGTTACATTTTAACTAACCTATATTCTATGTCTAGTATGTATCCTTTATGAATACAACTGAAATTGGCAGTGTGGATCAACATAACAAAATAATGAAAGCCAATCAAAAAGATAAAAAAAACAACAGGTCAAGCTCATTTAGTACTAATTGTGGTTCAAAGGAGGAGTTAATTGATAGATATTGTGAGTAAAGAGAGTAGCAACATGATATTCAACTAAAACCCTGAAGAAATGGTTTTCTTCACCTGACATGGAAAGTATATAATCTTCTCTATGCCCTTCATATCTTAGCAGAGAGATAATTCTACCCTCAGGCTATTTGCTTTAAGAAGATTCACTATCACAGGCAGGATATGTATTAATTCGAAGACAAAATTGAAAGGCAAGCGGATTACCCCTCAAAATATATCTTTGAATATAATCATGAAATGGAGTCAAAATCATACTGAATTTAACTCCTTGAATTATACATTTGAACTGAATCACAATTCAAATTAGATCTTGGCTGATTTATAGATCCTTAAGAACCATGCATTTGAATATCAAAACATTTTAACAGGCATTATTAGTCAAGGAATCTTTCAAAACAAGTAGGCATTTTTCTCTGTTGCAACAAAACAGGAATCCTAACAATAATGCATTCAAAACTTATGCAGTCTGATCTGAGATGCCACCAGAACAGGAGAAGGAGTATTGTTACATTTTGGTGCATAAAGGAATATAAGTGAGCTACCTATTGGTAAGTTAATAAAGCATCAGACAGGTCTTGCATTGTGCACTGTATGCATTCTGGCACTTCATGAAAGAAATACCACCATTTCTCTGCTAAGTTTGGTCCACCAATGGTCCATATATTTCTGATAATTCTTAAAATCCCAGCTCGAATGTGTGAAACTTAATACTCTGTTGTATCCTGGTTTAATGATTCTATGAGGCTACTGCATCACTGTATTTTATAGCAGTTCCCATCAGTGTGGCAGATGGCAAGCAATTACATTATTATTTAATATAACAAAGCATCAGAACAAAAGCAAATAGGTGTCCTTTATCCTACTACATTGTGACAACACTTTGATCTAAAGTCCATCAGCTATCATATTCCCCAATAAGAATCTGAATAATTCAACAGGAGCTCCTTTTGAAAGGTAGTAGGTAAAATTATTATATTTTGTCAAAACTTCTCCCATCCCCCCCCCCCCCCCCAAAAAAAATCTCAAATGTCTATTGTAAAATAGATAGAATGCACATGTTTCTTCATGAGTTCTATCTGGTTTCTCTTTAGATCATATATTCCCATCTCAAGATGGGATGCAAAACACTCTTTTCAAAAGTGTCTGTATAACAATAACTAAGGTTAGTGAATGTGCAATTATATCTGGATCACCCTGGTTCTAGTTCAACACTTTAATAATAAATTAAGTTGACTCAGCTGTTCTGAGTCTTTCCCCATCTTTGCTTTCTTTTAGTGTTTGGAGCTAAAAAACCATCTTGAATCTGTGGCATTGGCAGACTGCTTTTCATTTTTGAAGCTTTGACAATAACTATGTGGAACAGATACTCAATGGTAGTCCCTGCCAGTCAGCAAATTTCAATAATGAAGTCTGTTTTCTAAGTTCATGTGCTATCTTTCTCTTCAACTTTTCAAATATTTCCCTGGTACGGTCTGAAACTACATCTTATCAGAAAAGCAGAATAAATGTTCTATATGATTGTATTTCAAAACATGAAAAAGAAAGAAAACAGTTTTACAATGCGAAGTGACTGTTAAAAGTTTGGTCTCTGAAGCCTATATGTGAAGAAAGAGCTCCAAACCAGGGCCCACTTGGATATTTCATATTATTTTGTTTTATAAAACAAAACAAAAATAAATGTAGAAAATAAATTCTTTTCCAACTACTCTTAAAACAGGGGTGGGATTCTACCGATTATGTCCGGCTCTGCAGAACCGGTAGCTCTGAAGAGCAGCAGACATAGAACTGATTCTATGTCTGCTGATGTTTTGGCCCACCCACCCACCTGGGCTCTTACCTGACCTTTATTTCCTACTTTTTCAAGCTCAGTTGAAAAAGCAGAAAAAGAGTGCTGTTTCAAACGCTACGTCTCTGCACTCAGCGCTGCTAAGCTGTCCAGGCAGCAAGCTGATGACGATTTACAGGCGTGTGCATATCATAAATCACCAAACCTCGTAAATCACCGAACCGGTAGTTAACCCTGTCGGATCCCACCCCTGTCTTAAAATAATATGGTTTTCATCCAATGTAGGAATATTTATACTTAAACAGGAAATTATTATACATGGGTTTTTTCCTCCCTTGTTAAGAGTCATGGCAGTCCACATCACAGGCATCATTTGATACTGTAATACAATCTGTTCTAGGAAGAGTTGACTTCATTTAACACAAAATGTTATTCATGCAAATTGCACAGTATTACAAATACAGTATACTACAGATAGTCCTCGATTTACAACAGTTCATTTAGTGACAACTGAAAAAAAACACCTTATGACTGTTTTTCCTGCTTATGATCATTGCAGCATGCCCATGTTAGTTTGATCAAAATTCAGACACTTGGCAACTGTCTCATATTTATGACAGATGCAGTGTCCCAGGGTCATGTGATCCCCTTTTGCAACCTTCTGACAAACAAAGTCAATGGGAAATCTAGATTCACTTAACAATTTTGTTAGTAACTTAACAACTGCAATGATTCACCTAACACTAGTGACAAGAAAGGTCATAAAATGGAGCAAAAGTCACTCAACAAATGTTTCATTTAGCAAAGAAATGTTGGGCTCAATTGTGGTTATAAGTCGAGGACTACCTGTACTGTCTGACTCATTTGCCCTATGTTCTCACAGGAACCATGAGAACAAGCAAGATATTACTGATGGAGATTAGAAGGCCGGAACTTATAATATAATGCTCATAAGTACTGATCTATGATAACTCAATTTTTAGCCTTTAGTAAAGCCACCTCTCAAATTTTCAGACAGCTTTAGCAATCAAAGCATAGTTAAAATATGTAAAATAAATTACTCAAAAGAAACCAATGGAAATAATCTATTCAAATAATCTACTCACAGTGCAGTTCTATCCTTATGAAGTCTCTGATTCCCAGATTCTCTAAAAACACACCAGAAGAAGCTGTAGTTTTGAAGAAAAAGGACATGTCTGCACTTAGTTCTCCGTGAAAAGTAGGGAAATGAAGGTAGGAGGCTTCCGTGTTGAAGGAGGCTGCATTCCAAAACTCTCCTAAATATAGAACAAAGAAGGTAGACAATTCTATTACATATACAGTTGTAGCTAATGAATTGGTCATTAATATATTAATTATCCTCAAATATTGCATTAACTGCCTTTCTTTGAAATGAAATCTCAATTTGTAAGTGCCACAATTTACTTATAGTTCAAGTCTGCCCTTTTCCATATAACCTACAAAGGGTTAATTCCGAATCATGCTATCTACAAAATCAAATTGGTGATAGCAAAGAACTTTCTGGGACCTCTTGGATGGCCTTTGAGGCTGATGAAAGCAATCCTATCATCATGAATCTGAATGACACATCCCTTATGTTGACTTCTGTTGCTATTTGTTTGCTTATTAACTTTTGATTGCATAAAAAATCTTGGCTACCAACAGACTTTTCTTATTTTCATCTTTGACTGTTAGCCAGTTTGGGATTCTATTCCATGACCAACCAGTGGATTATAAATATTAGAAGAAGGGAAGCAAGAAAAGTTAAAATGCATGTATTTGCATACACACATTTTCTTGTTAATAGTTGATTAGTTAAAATTATACTACAGTTTCATTTGCACTGCTTCACCACCAATCTAAGACTAGAACAAGGCTATTGTACTAATTCTAAGATATTTTTTTTGCAGTCTTACATGAAATAACCAGTTACAATGCAATCCATGAGCATGTTAGGGAACACTGGTTTTTCTTTATCAATTTTCAAGAAAGTTAAGTCGTAAAGTTACTTTGTTTGCCATTATGCTACATATTTAAATCTCTTCATATCATTCTGCTATATCCTTGTCTATGTATTTTTTTTTCTTTCATAAGCTGTATACTACTTGGTGAATTAAATCAGACAATATCAGCCAGTGAAAGCTAAATATATTTTTTCTGGTTAGTTTCATGATCTTTTTCTTTTTTAGAAACGTCATTTCCCCAAAAATATGATGGATAAATTATAAATGAGTTTTAAACTTCAAGTTTCAGTTATATTCAATACATTCTCCCCCCCCCCCCCCTCACTTTATATTCATTTTTAATCTTCTGGTTTTAAAATTTTTAATTTTGTAAACCACCTTGAGGGAATTTTCTGGTCAGAAAGACAAGATATAAATACAAAACACTTTCTATCTAATTTCACAGTGTTTCAGCATTGTTGATTTATTAATGGCTGATCTGATCAGTTCTTTGACTAAGCAGAAAGAATACATTTCTTTGGTTCTAAAGTTAAGAAAAATAGACAGGATATAACATTATACTTTTATTGCTTTTTCAAATTCTGCCATGTTATTTTATACAAACACAGACATGCACATACACACACACTCCACTCATTTATTCTCAAATACATTAGGACAAATAAATGCCATACACTATACCCTGGGGAAATGTATCTAAAATGTAGATTGTTTGTACTTATATCTTTGTTTTATGCATTTTTCTTAAGGCAAAAACAGATTCTGCAGGAGAAATACATATTAAAAAAAATGTATGCCCAAAATGTTTCATAGTGATGCAGAAAATAGATAGAGCAGATGTGAGCTTCAAATGCTTCCAAAGTTATTGAAAGCAAACTTAATGTAAGAACATACTCAAAATCATTTTATTGCAGCATTGAATGTTCTAATCTAAATTACATTTCATCAGCTTTTACAGATACAAGAGCTGCACGTGCTTTATTATCTTGCTGCTTTAAGTTTATAGTTCAAGTGTTAGCATGATATTAAATCTGCACTTTTATTTTCAAATAAGTATCACTCAGTGTAGAATGAGTTTCTCTGTAAATGTGCATAGACTTAGATGCAAAAGTAGGCTTTGTTATTTTCAGAAGGTTATGACTTCATCTAGATTTCTAAATAAATGTGCACTATAAACAGTTAGTCAATTTGAATTTTATATTCATAACATTGATAAGAGAGATGCAGCTCCTTCCCTGTCCAATGATCAGCTACTGTGCAGAAAAAAAGGATTCAAATTTAACCTGAAAATCCTATGAACTGTATGTGTGAACAGAGAGAAGGGGGGAGGGAAGGAGGGAGAGGGACAGGCAGGGAGAGGGAAAGAAGGGGCAAGGAAAGGGAGAGGGAGGGAGAGAGGGAGAGGGAGGAAGAGGGAGGGGGAGAGGGAGAGAGATCACTTGATATAAAATCACACAACTTTAGTTACTTACTATCACCCTGGCAGATTAAAGGTCCAAGTTTATAAGCTGCTTCAGAATTTGGACGACCTGTATCTGTGATGACAAGTTCTGTTACTGGCAAATGGTCTTTGTAGGACAGAAGTCCTGTGTCATTTGTCCTGCCACAAATAAAGAAATGGAGTTTCAGAACAAAACTTCATGACTACCCTCATACCTATGGAAGAATACTACTACATTTATAAGTGTGTGTAAAAAAAAATCCCAATTGCTTTGGAATGGGTAAGATAGTTATGACATAGAACATTACAGTGTTTTTAGCAGCAAAAATTGATATACCATGAATGGAAAACTGCTATATTTAAGTGCATCCCACTCTGTCAGTAAGTGTGACATCATGTGGTTGCCATTTGCAACATCATGCTTACTTTCATATTGCCTTTGCTTGTCAGAAGCTGGTAGTGAAGGTTACAAATATGTCTGTGGGATATCGCAGCATGATAGTTGCAAGCCAATTATTAAAATATCTGGATTGTGATCACATGACTTTAGGGATACTGCAACCACTCCATGAGAACTAGTTGTAAGCATTATTAACTTGATGCCCTAAATTTGAGTGGCCTATGAAAAAAAAAAGATTGTTGAACAAGGCCCACCTGTACTGAGTCAGACTATTGGTCAGATCAGCAATGTTACCATCTATTGGCAGACACTTTCTGACTCTAATTGGCAGACACCTCCAAGGCACTGAATATGGGAGGGTGTTCTGAAGGGAACTACAAACCTGAACCATGATCTGTTTCTGTGACAAATCAATGATTTGGGATCATCATGGTTTTTGAAGTCTCATTGCTTCAGGGTAGCACGCAACTCTAACTTTGTTCATGTTTTCCAACAAAAGGTATCCAATGTTTACGTTTCTTTCATTACAATGAAGATGGAAGGATCTTAACTTTTGCTGGGTGTTTGAGGACATATTTTTTGAAGAAAATCTATGGAATTTATAAAATAAAAAATAAAGGGTTTTTTTGATACTCAAAATTTGCAAAGACTTGCTTTATTGTAAATCACCTCCAAAGTTAGATATTTTATGCCCACAGAACAGGCAATTATTCCTTGTAAATCTTTAAAAAACAACAGTTATTAGGATTGTGTAAACATTCCAATTAATTGAGAAAAATTATCAGTTTTCAGCCAAACACTCAAAGTGCATTAAAAATAAATATGAGTTGGACTAATCTAAATCCAAACTGATTCAGATTTACACTATTAAAATTCATACATGCATGTCTAGACAGCATCTGAGTCCAATGAAATCAGTTAGGATGCATTGAGTTCATTTAAACTAATCCATCAAATTGATCTGGACATGTTTCCTGGACACGATCAAAGTATGATTCAATTTATCAAACTGGTTCAAAGAAAATTATGAAAAATGTTCCAAATCAATTTAGTATGGTTAATATTTATTTTCAATATTTATTAAATATTCATAGGGTGTAATAACTGGAGGTTTTCAGAAATATCCAGTTTCAAAGTCCATGTGCTTCTTTTCACATTTGGCAAACTTAATCTTCTGAGAATTGCCCACAGTGTTATAACTGTTTTTTCATTCTCTAAAAAAAGTAAAAATCTAACTTTCCTACAACAATCAATGGGAAAAAACAAATTTGTTTTTTTATTTTTACTTAGGCCTTGGGTTAAATTACAGATAATTCTTGATTGCTGTGATTCATTCAGCGACTGTTCAAGGTCATGATTGTGCCGAATGAAAGGACTTACAACTAGTGCCTGAAATTATAGCCACTGCAGAAGCTCCAAGGTGATGTGATTACAATCTTAGTGCTTGGCAACTTACAACCAGCTGCAAAGAGCTTTGAGATCCTGTGATTGCCATTTGCAATCTTCCCTGCCACCTTTCCCAGAATGTTAATGCCGCTTTGAAGCTACTGTTGCCTACCAAGATAATTCCTACTCATCCTTGGGGGCTGGCATGAGATTTGATCTGATGAAGTGAACTGAAGGTCACAAAAGTTTATGCCCTTGAATAATTTTTGTTAGTTGGAAAAGGTGCTTCAAGAGTCCTTCTGGATATTTTGGGGGAGGGGGGGGAAGTGAAGCAGTGCATGGAGTAGAGGTTGTGTAACATCAATGACGAGCCAAAAATAAAACTTTGTCCAGAAATTATCATTTTTAGCACAGTAAATTAGTGAGATAATTTAAAAAAAAAACATTCTACAATGACTTGAATCTACTGGGTGAGACAAAAGGGAAGTATCCAAAGAAAAATGTCTACAAGTCTTTCTTTTGGGGGGGAGGGAATAAAAAAATCAGGGATAGGCCCTTTCTCAGCCACATTCTTGGGATTTCAAATGAAAGATTTCAAATTAAAGTGTTCCTATTTTTAAATACTGAAATAATGATGTAATTATTCATAGTTGTGTTTTGGAAATTTAACAAAGCTCAGCAATTCAGGACCAAATATGCTTGCTTTCCAAACTGTATATTTGCATATTTATATTTAGCTTTAAAAATGGGCTACTTTTTAACAAGTGAAAATCAGATTTATTTATGAGGTAAATGCAAATTGATTCGGTTTTTAGCAGAACTTTGCAAAAATATTAGATGATTATTAAGGGATAAAGTTGTCATAATTACAGAAGAGCAAATGAAGAGGTTTTTTCCCCCAGTTCTTTCTTTTTTTAAAGCAATTGGTATTTACCAGTATTGTGATAAAATTAGATGGCATATTACAGCCATAGTAGAAGGGGTGGGATTCAAATTTTTTAACAACTGGTTCTGTGGCCGTGGCTTAGTTGGTGGGTGTGGCTTGGTGGTCATGTGACTAGGTGGGCGTGGCCAACTCAATATCTTCGAGGCACGCATCTCCTTGCCTGGCCTCTCATGACTATGGGGATGTTGCAACAGTCGTAAATGTGAAAAATGGTCGTAAGACACTTTTTTCAGTACCATTGTAACTTTGAATGGTCACTCCACACAAGCAAAGTACCAGCAAAGGAGGGGAAAAAACTCCAGAGAAGTTCTTGAGACAGGAAGTCCAGTCCTGTCAAGAATGTAATAAGGGTTAACGGAGAGGCAGTTTCTGTAAGCAACACCAGAAGGTTTCCTTCCTGCCTTCCTTACAGGATTAGGCCAGTAATTTCTTCTAACAACCGGTTCTCCGAACTGCGTAGAATTTTAACAACTGGTTCTAGCGAATAGGTGCGAACTGGAAGAATCCCACCCCTGCATAGTAGGCTTTAAAAATTAAAAGATGTTTAAAAATAATAACATTATCTCCTTGCATTTTGGCAGGCAGCATTGATGAAAACTTCACATGTAATATTAAATTACAATAATGTTTTAATCAAAGCACCATTATTTTAAGCAAATATTTTGATTTGGGTCTGATTCCTGAACTGAACACTTATGACAAATGTTTGACTTGGTAGTGCTTTCTAAAATCTTTCATCTTTATCATACTCTGGCAGCCATTTACTGATCTTTTCTTTACTGTTTCCCAGGCAAACTGTTTTCTGCATAATTTTCTGCAGTAGTACATTCTTTTCTGTTTCTTAAAAACAAACCTGTAAGTCTCCAATATTTCCTCTTCCTCTATTCTACACGATCCTACCATTTTACCGAGAAACTAATCTAACACATTAAATATAATAAAGAAATATGACAGATTCTGAGATAAACATTCCCTGCAATTTTGAAACTAGATTTTGTTTTCACTCAAATAACATCTTTCCCACCTCATATCCAGATTATGCATTTTTTTTCAACACACAAAAGATCATGTGTCATTTTCTGTTCTTGAAGGCACTCTTTCTAATGACCATTCTTTTCTTTTCTGAGCTTTTACAATCTACCTTAAAATATCCTTAAGATAAATAGAGATGTACCCAGAATGCTGTGTGCACAGCAGGTCTACTTGTTTGTGAATCTAGAGCTCACAGGGAACTAGCCAGTGGTGGGATTCAATTTTTTTTACTACCAGTTCTGTGGGTGTGGCTTGGTGGGTGTGGCAGGGGAAGGATACTGTAAAATTTCCAGTCAGAGGTGGTATTTGCCAGTTCTCCGAACTACTCAAAATTTCTGCTACCGGTTCTCCAGAACTGGTCAGAACCTGCTGAATATCACCTTTGGAACTAGCAATAAAAGTTTTTTGATTTGTTGGATTTTTGTTGAATACCTGAGCACAGAAACCTGCCAGCCAATCAGTGATTATTTGCTTCCCAAAAAAGTAATCCCTTCATGAGAAGAAAAAAGGATCATTTCCTACCATTTATCCAAGTTTATGAATTTATTATGACAATAATCTGTGATTTCCAAACTTATAATACTGGTTTGCTAATAGTTTTGCATCTGGATTCCTTTATTTTATTATGCAAAATACACACAGCATACATAATACCTGTATGCTATTATATTAGTAGCCCAGAAGCTGGTAGGCAAAAATATATCTTTCCATGAAGGTATAGACCAATTCTTCAAGCACAAAATAACATAAATTCCCACTTTTTGAACATCTTTCACAGTCCTGAAATGATATTTCTTTGGCCATAGATACAATACTACTGGCATAATGAAATTTTAAAATATGATTATGACCAATATAAACCTACCATTTCCCATTATCACAAAAATCAAAAATCTTGGTCAAAATCCTTTCATTTCTTATCCATATCTTCTTGATCTCCCAGATATTAAGGCTTTAATGTTTGTATTCCTTCTTTCTCAACTTATCAACAGCATGCTGTTTATTACTCTAGCAACTGATTACCAGAACAATATGCTTTTGCTGAGAAGAAAACTTGGCATTTAATAAGCAAGTACAAGTTCTCATGTTTGACTCTAGAATTATGACAAGAAAAAGGAGAGAGGGGAGAGGAAAGGAGAGAGGGGAGAGGAGGAGAGGAAAGGAAAGGAAAGGAGAGGAGAGGAGAAGAAAGGGAAGGTACAAACTTTCTTCAAAACTATGTTTTATCCAATCTTTTGCCCACTCTGTCTCATGTAAGAATGTCCTGAAAATGCCTACTAAGGAATATTTGGATCAGACCGAAGAAAATCTTAGACAATTTTGGGTTTGAGCGGGCATGCGGGGATGAAGTGTTTTAAGAAATTGTAGTGGAGGAACACTGTAGTGGAGGAACAGCTCTATTAGGGTCCTCTGATATTTCCTCCCCCGCACCTGAGAAGAGAGTTAGAAACATACAAAAGCATTCAACCTTGAGAACAAGAGAAATGAGAGAGAAAACAATCACCATTCATTTCTGTCAGCATCACAGTTACAGTCATGTTGGGAGTCAATGCAATTTCCTTCTATTCCACAAGCACATTTCTGCACATCAGGAGTGGAACCTCCCCAGTATGTCTGGGTATCATTGATTTTTCCAATCCACCAGCTGAATGGAATGCCATCTATAAGGCAAGTTAGAACAAGTTAGTGTTTCTGGAGTGTGGCAATGCTGTCAGTGATAGCTTCAGTTCAAGGAAACCAAATATCTTAAGACTTTCTAAAAAAAAAAAAAAGAAATAAAATTATCCGACTATGATAAAACACTAAAATATTTTTCATTTTAATGTTTCGTTACCATGAGTAACATACTGTGAAGGTTTCTGCTTACAACATGACTTGAAACAGAGAACCGGTAATCCCTGAATCGATCAGGAGTGATGTTAGAAACATCTATCTTTAACAGGACACTTCAGAAATTTTCTTGTGCTCGCTTCGGCAGCACATATACTAAAATTGGAATGATACAGAGAAGATTAGCATGGCCCCTGTACAAGGATGACATGCAAATTCGTGAAGCATTCCATAAGAAAAATAAAATAAAATAAAATAAATAAAAAAGAAAAAGAAAAGAAATTTTCTTTATGAAAAAAAAGGATATCCTCCTTCCCAAAACATTCAGCTAATTCATTTTGTGGGGATCGATAAAAGATCGATACACTACTGTGAGAAGATTAGAAGAATAAACATTATCTAAAAAGGCTTCAACTTGGTTAAAAACATGTTATTGTGATAAGAATTACAGAAGTACTAATCATGTACTAAACAGTCAGAATAGTTTTATGTAGGAACAACTGAAAACGTTAATGATCATATCACAAACTACTTAACTGTCATTGAAGATGTGTCAATGATTGCCATATATTACAAGTAACACTGTGCCAAAATATATCTTCCAATTTCTCCAAAATCCTATTCCCCTGCAAGAACACACTTCTATTTTTCCATAACCAATGATGTTTTAGAATGTATTTAGATGATGTTTTTGAGTTGTTACTGTTTTCCTTTTCTTCAGGAAAATGCTATGGCTATTTTCTTTGCTTTTACAAATCTCCCCATCACCATCTGAATGTGTATATCCCTAATCTGACAAAGTCTGATGGGAAAAGTTATGGGATTTAAATGCTGTGTAGGAAGCTAGGGACATGGCATACTGCTGGATCACTTATAAAAGCATCCTGTTCCAGGCTTTAGCAGATCTAATAAAGATCAGTTAGAAACTGGCTTATTGGAATAGCAACCTAGTCTTGTGTTACATGCAGGCATCCAAAGAGATAGTCTGATATCCAGTGGGGGGAAAAGCACAATGATTAAAGTGAGTGGTTTCAGGCCTTGGGAAAAGAATAAAAATCAAGGTTTTAGTAAGAAACTGAGCAAGCATGACAGAACAACAGAATAGCAGTGAAGATAAAGACATTATTGCAATAGCAGATTTTGTTCTAATTGAAGGCTTTGTAATAATAATTCCTGCAGAACTGACACTCAGGTCCAGTTGCTGCTTATTAATGGAAAGTCGTCAGAAAAGTCTTATTAATCCCCCATATCTTTCTTTCTCTACCTTCTGGATCCTGAGCTGTCTGGAGGGCTTGATAAGTCTCACATACTGAATCAAATACTGTTGTATCTTCTGTGAGTCCCTGCTTTCTGAGATGCTTGACTTCTACTTTGAGTTAGGACCCTTCCAGGATGACCATGATTCTATGACCATGATAGAGACATATATTCTTGGGCATCTTATAATTCTGTTAATATTGTTTTCCCTTTTGTTAAGAAAAGAATTACGTTAATAAAATTCTTTTGAATCAAAGTTTAAAAAAAATAGAAATCCTTTATGTAATTTTACTAGTATAATCTGGTTTAATGTATCCAATACCACAAAACAATTGTTCACATACAACTTTCCTCGGCACAATTTACAACAAGAATAAAAAGATCTCCAGTTTTAATTCTCCAATATGGTACATTAAAGAAGAGTTGCTGTTGGCTAAATAGAGCGGTAAATGCACAAAATATACAGAAAAGGGTAATTACTAATGGATCTGAAGCATGAAGATAATCCATTTTAACGAAGAAAGGTGAACTTTATGACAAATGCAAAAGCAAAGACTGAAGAAAACAGTGTGTAATAATATTAAAGCACATGATGCTGTGCATGTGGATCCTGATTTTGTTAGGAATAGTCAATTATCTATAAGAGCTCCTGCTGCAATTTGAAAATATGGAATTTGTTTCTGCCTACTTTGCTTTAAAAAAACTAACTAACTAGGGGATGCAGAAAATCATGACTGTAGCTCATGGTTTTCAGGTTCTCTATGATCCCTTAGCCTCTAATTCATTAATTTGTTCCCATGCTATGCAACAACCTGGCCAGCAGGTCTTTAAAAAAGGACTCATAGATCCAGAAAGGGAAAGAAAACATGTAATTATATGAATGTTGTATAAATTTGGCAGACTTTGCTATGTATCCTAGAAAAATAGCCAGATTATGGAATGCTTCATTTTGATTGCCTCTCTGTCTGTCCATCACAACCCAGTATTTCTGATACTTTTCTTTTTTGTGCTGGGAGAAAGCTTTGAAGAATTAGAACAAGTGCTTAATATATATACATGATCCTATAACTTTAGATTTCATGTCCCTTTAGAATCAACTCTATACTATGGGCAAAGCAAGATTTATGACATGATTTCATGCCTTCCATATATGGTAGGCGTGCTAAAGATAATGGAACCTATTTTGTTAGTATCCTGAAGCATTTTTCTTTTTCTTTTCATACACCTGAACAGTCTGAGCAGAAAAAGAATATAAACCCAACTCTTCATACATTTGTTTCTTGCTATGTAATTTTTAAAAAATGATGGAGCTTTGCATTTTGTGACACATTTCATTCAGGAAAATGAAATAAAAAGCAACAAGTGATGGTGCAAATAACAACAAAGAAGACTGTTAGAGAGTTAGCCAAGTCTCCCAATTACAGTTCAGTTTGCATGTTCATTGGCTGTTCAGAATAAACAAGGCAAATATACTATATCCTCTAGTTTAAAACTGAGCTGCTCACATTGTGAAGTAATGCAAGTCTGCTATGATTTTTTTTTAACCAGCTCTATTTGTTTGGGTAGACAACCAATGACCTATTGGGTGACTATTTCAGAGATATTTCTTTACCTAAACAGAGAAACAGAATGTCCACAGGCTGGCAAAAAAAGCAATAGATGCAGGAGCAACTTACAATTTATTGCTGCCTTTATGGAAATTGGCCAGGGAACATTTGAAATGAATTTGTGAAATTTTAATCCCATGGAAGTTATGGATCCTGATCACAACCCTGCCAAATTTCAAGCCCTAAGGCAGGGGTGTCAAACTTGCATCATCACATGATGTATTGGGACTTTTTTCCCCTTTGCTAAACCGTGTGGGGGCCGGGCCAGCATGTGATGCATCCATCCCATGGGCCACAAGTTTGACACCCCTGCCCTAAGGTATACCATGCCATCATCACCTTAGAACAGTTCACACTTCCTGCTGGTGTCCCCATTGGGACATTAGCTGCAATAGCTGGCAGGGAATATTCTTTTTTCCACATATAAATATAAACTGGTGCCATTTCCCTTCCTCTCATGACCCTCAGGTGAACTCCAATGAAGCCTCCTCCTCCTCTTACTTGGCTGATCCACAAAACTGCCTGCTACTTTTTGGGAGGAGGGGGAACGAAGGAAGCTGCACACTGAAGAAAATTGCACTGCCACTCCCCGTTTTGTATATTCCCAGGAGACACCTCCTTTTAGGGAGAAAGAGGGCTCACATCTGTGGCAACCCCTAACCAACCCTACCTGTCTAGCAGGCATCTAAGTCACTCCCTCACCCTTCTGTCACTGTCCACCACCATTAAGCCAATTGCTGCTCGCCCTTTGAGCTTTGTTGCCAGATAATTGGCTGCAGACGCCAGAGGTAGGCAGGAAAATGTGATAATCATGTGACCTCATTTAGTCATAGCAATGTGGCACAGAATCACTGAAGTGGCCTCAAATTTCAATCTTACAGGAGTAATGGGTCCCGGAGTTTAGTTGTTTTCTATTTGTTAGCTCATCTGTTCCTCTGTCATGAACCATTTCACCCAATTTAAAGCTACAAACAAATAGAAACAGGAATAAAGTGGTGTATTGTAGTGGATGCCCCAGATGCTGGCTCAGATTATGAGGAAGAGTCAGCTTCAGAAGCTTGGGGGCAGGGCATCGAGGAGCATCTTGAAGACATGGAGGACCCTGAATCAGGAGGGGGTTGGGCAAGAGGAGGAGGAGAAGCTAGGAATCTCAGAAAGGACTAAAGTGATGACTGGATGAGCATCTGGCTGACAGAGAGAGAGTAGAGACGTAGATGCAGCAAGGAGGCTCAGAAGACCAGCCAGAAACAGTGGGCAGAGAAAGGAAACAGTTGCAGCCAGATGAGGAGGAACTGACTCCTCTGACATATCCCAGGGTGTGCAGGGCCAAAAGGAGGGAGGTGCAATGGAGGTCAGTGAATCTACTCGTGAAGAGGTAACCTCACTCCTCCTAATGTGCTACACCAGTCAGTGGCTATCTAATCCAGTATGTAGAGTAAAGCAACACTGGAAACGACTCAACCATTTCTTTCCAAGCCTCTGTTTTGCCATCTTGACTCTTGCTTTTGGACTTAAGCTTTGACTCTGACTTTCGACTTTCTTCTTGAACTTTTTACTGGATTTTAGTTTCATGATTCATGAGACTGTGGACATATCTTGGGACTCCAAAACTGGTGGGTGACTTTATGGACTTGCACTGTGTTCTCAGACTTGAGGATTGGACTCATTGGGATTTGTGCTAGTTCCTATGTGAGGTGAATCCTGGGGAATATTATTTGGGGTTGGTGAAGCCTCCATAAAGACTTCAGACCCTTGTGGTGTGTTCATCTGTGAGTGGGATAGGACGTGTATACATTAGAAGCTAGTCTATACAAATCCAGATAGTCACTCAATAGAAGCAAAGAGGCAGGGAAAGATCTAATGTTTTTTTCTATATTGTGGCTAACTAAAATTTTGTAATCTGAGCCCTGTCTGGCAGCCTGGATTTAACATCAAGTAACAGCCAATTTGGTGTAGTTGTAAAGTTGTATAAGCCTTTATAGTGGGAGGGGAAAAAAACTCTTTCAAGAAAGCAGCAGGGCTTGTCCAGAATTGGACATGATTGAATGGAAGAAAAAAATGTCTACAGTCATCTAAGACAGACAGGGTAATATTATATGTCGTGGGATACTAGTTTTAACTATCCTACAAACTCTATTTGTTCTTTGGTCTGTAACCATATTAGGTTAAATATAAAGCAGTCAAGAAAGCTGGCATGACGAACCTATGCATTCACAGAGCTCTTTCTCCTCTTTATATGGATGTCAATTAAGAGACCTGTGGCAGGTGGATGGTAACATATTTGTATATGGTAGTTCTGTATAAATGATCTTGGCATAGTTTAGCTGAATTCATAAAGCTGTGCATTGATTGAGTTTAGTAATGCAATTAAAGGACTGTCACTAAGCAACAATTAGTGATTATCTATGAATGTTCCTAATCAGATAGAAGCAAAACATGACCTTGTGAGGTCTGAATGCATGCTTACATACATTTCATATAGGAGTCGAGTGCAAGGAATTCTTTTTTCAGTAGAAACAGAATGAAGTTTAATATTATAGACTTACAGTTATTACCGTAATTGAATATTGCATCTGTCAATACATTTAGTGAATAGTATGCACATTGGGGAGGTCAGGTTTCCAGAATAAATGCCTGTTATAGTAGAGAAAACTAGATAATTGCTTATTTACAAGAGTAACTGCTGAATACAAACAGTATCAGCACCTAAGGGTATGTGTATGTGCCTACTTGCATATGTGCAAAAACAAACACAGATTTTACAAAGCAATCCTCTGTATTTTTTTTTCAACATAATTGATGGAGCACAAAACAGAAAAGCTTCAGCTGCAGAAGGACTAAATTCCCACATCATGCAATTGTATTTCCATAATGGCTATTTCTCTCTGGATATATTTTTCAAAATTCTTTAATTTTGTACATGCATGATTTTGTTTTCCTAAATTACTTTCTGTACTATATTAAAATGTTACACTATACAAAATAGGTATGGCTTTAATCTGTCATGGAATCCTTTTCCTCACTGTTTCTCAACCTTGGCTGTTTTAAGATTTCAACTTAAGACTTCAACTCCCATGATTCCTCAGCCAGCATGATGGCTGGGAGATTATTGGGAGATGCAGTCCAGCCAACTTAAAGCTGCCAATGTTAAGAAACACTGCTTTACCTGATTTAGTATTTAGATGTGTTCTTTAGTTCTTGCTATTTATTGTGTGCCTTTCAAGCATAAGCCAAGAAGGACAGTTTGTGTAAGTTTTACTAAATAGTAGGATTAGGTAAGAAAATGAGTTAGAAATTGGTTAATGTTTTTGAGCATAATTACACACTGATCTTGGTGCTATTGAAAAACTTTTGGCTTAGGGACCTTCTCAATAAATCTTCTGAAACTTTTAAACAAATAGATGAAAGACTATAATGGCAAGTTGCCCTAATCTTGGCAGTATTCAACATCTAGGGGTTTTTTGTGTGTGTTAAGGATAATGCATTATGTAGTATAATAAGATTTATCTCCATTACTTACTTTGCTTGTTAGAAAGTCGTGACTTTTTGCAGTGGTAAGCAAGCTCCTGTTCACATTGTTCTGCATGGTTAATTGTAGCCTGGAGCTGTTCTAGGCTGGCAGCATATTTGAAAAACACACTGTGAGGGTTCTCTCGGTTAGCAGTTTTGACTCTGGTTAAATCCGTGTTGTTGTGCTGTATAATTGTCCAGGTGGTATCTTGAAAGATAAAATGAAGAAGCACATTGTAAATCAGGCATACACTCAAATAAAGTGAGCCAACAGTTAGGCAAAAATCCTTAATCTCATTTTCTAGGGGGAAAAAAGAAGCATTTTGTCAAATTTTATCAATCATATTCTGTACTGGTTGAAGTAGCTTCTTCCTGTTTTCTCTTTCTCTCTTAGTCATAAATATATTTTAGCATTACCACATCCGTGGTGGTGTAGTGATTAGAGTGTAGTACTGCAGGCTACTTCTGCTGACTGCCGGCTGACTGCAAATTTGACAGTTCGAATCCCACCAGGCTCAAGGTTGACTCAGCCTTCCATCTTTCCGCGGTGGGTAAAATGAGGACCCAAATTGTTGGGGGCAATATGCTGACTCTGTAAACCACTTAGAGGGGTCTGTAAAGTACTGTAAAGGGTATATAAATGTAAGTTCTATTGCTATTTAGCTTGTGAAAAGCCAGACATCCACTTGTTGGCATCAGGCTTACATTTTATGCATTTCTTTGCTGCCACCACAGAATTTGTAGCCGGAGATGATTTTGACATGTTGCAGCAGCACAATGCATTCTAGAGAATACAAAATGTTCTTCAGTTTTAGGGTGTGTTATATCCATTGTTTTTAATTAGTTGATCCTTCTTTGTCTTTTGTGGGTTCCAACTTGGTATTATCAACTAAACCAGCCCATTTACTACATTTATTTATAGGGTTGGTTTTTCTGAAGAAATTCAAATTGATATCCTATAATTAAATATTTTACTGTTCTTAAGAGGACACCTTGGCTTCAGCTTTTTTGTTTATGAAAATTTAGGAATGTTTGGCAGCAAATAAACATTATTAAATGCATGTTAACCAGCTGTAGCAAGAATATATGATGAGGTGATTAAAGTCAATAATAAACATTAGTTCTTTATTTGGTTAATATTGGGTCAATATTCTAAAGCTGATTTATACATACAGCTTAAGTAATCCCTGTAACCCCCCAAAAGGCTTATATTCATTTGGCACATTTAAATTTAGTCTAAAAGCCAGCTCAGCTGAAGATAGCTGGGAAAGTTATGTAAACATGTTTAAACATTACACTATTCTTTACATAAAGGTTAAGCTCTTTTAGAGAATGAGATTGAAAAGGGAGAAGCTTTTACGATTCTATCCACAAGCAAACTGGAGCAAAAGAAGAATGCTTTCCATGCAAGAGTTGACATTGGATTGGAAGCTTTGGGCCTGAGGCTTATGATATTGAAAATGATTTCTCTGAATACCAGAGTATAATGAGACCTCCCTTTGCAACTGCCTGAGATGAAAAGCTACATGAATATCTATGACAAGGGAGCAGCGTCAAAAAAATATGGGCATCTGTCTGCATTGCCCCAGTGGGGAAAGAGAAGGAGGGTTGTGAGGAAACAGGAAGAAAACAAAAACAGAAGATTCACCCTGTCAGATAGCATTTCTTGATGGGGAACTGATCAATGGGATTTGCTTAACATATTGAATAAGGAGTGAGCGAAGAGAACAGTGGCAGCTGTTCCTAGATATACACAGATGACTCAAATTATACTTCACTTCAGCTGTTTGATCCTTCAAGTGTTTAAATTAAAACCCTTTCTGGTCTTTGATTTGACCAAAAAATTAATGAGCAGTTGGGCTTCTATTTCCCTATAAGAGGTATGCCAGTAGTTCCAATCATTCATTACCAAGATTCTTCAATGAATGGCTTTCAATATTAGCATCTCATTGATATGCTTGGATTCTGAACATGGTGAACTGCATTTTCTTTGCCAACCACACTACCTGGTCAAGTTCTCTCTAGAAAGGTATGAAAGGTATTTGTTGAAAGATATTTTTCAGAATTTCTAGAATTGCATAGGCATCCTATCCTAGTTGGGAATGGTCACTTAAAACTTGCTGATGGCCATAACATAATAAAAAGTTTTCTATATAAATTTTTAAGAGCCCTGTTCTTAAAAATCTCAAGAAAAGCAATGCATGATCCACTATTTAAATCTGAACTTTATGGTCACCACCAAGTTGCCCCCTTCCCTTTGCTCCTACTCACACTGTGGGAAATATTTGCCAAATGTGCTTTTTATTATTGCTGCATTACTCCAAATAATCCTAAGAAATGGGAGCCAAGAAGCAACACAAAAATTTGTATTTCACAGGTGGACTGAAATACTTCAAGAGGGCAAAGCAATTTGAAAAAAATATGTAATTGTATATTGACAGTGCTTGGTGATTTGATATATTGCATCCTGCTCCAAGCTCTATTTAATGCCAGCATCAAATTCAGCAAAATCAGAAAGCAATTTGTGTTCTATCCTTATTATCGATATCATGCTTTTTGTGTAGACAGAGGAAGATGAGGTGCAGCATTTGATGTCCTCCAACGTTTTGCCTCTTCCAATTCATGTTCTCGGCTACCATTTACAACCTCTGTTCTTGAAGTTTATCTAAAGGCCATGTTGATATGACTGCACCAATTGCTTCAATGGTAATGAAGGGAGGAGGGACGACACTATCTGGAAAGAATTTACAATTATATTTGGAATGGAAAGAAGGCTGTTCAGGACCTCCTTAGTGGCATCTAATTGGAGATAATGGGTATTCACCAAATATGGCGTCACCCTGAGCTTACATCAAGAGGAAAAAAAGCATGGCATAATTCTGAAGGATTGTACTAAAGGCTATTCATTCTGACAGCTTTACTGCTCAGTAAATGCATGCTGTAAAAATGTGCATTTTTATTATGATATTGTCCTTGACTGTATTGCTATGGTCTACTTCTGCAGTACTCTAATGGAGTGAATTAGGTGCTTAGTGAAGAATGAGAAGCAATGCAAATAAGAGAGCTGTTGATCCTTTATCTGGTACTCCGCATTGGAGGATTGCTTCATAGCTTTGTGCCTGAACATCATCAAAAGACCACAAGAAAAGAAAAACCTTGATTGACTCTTTATATGTGTTTTGGAAGATTTATTTTTTTCAATTCTGTACTAAGTTAATGAGATACTACAATTTATTTGCCTATATGCTATCATATTTAAGGAAATGATAGAGCACAGCTTTTCAGAAATAAAACAAGTAAATGATGCAGTTTTCTCTTTTATCCTTGGTATGTTGACTATACGTATACCATAGCAATCTAACAGTTTCTGCCCTGTTCCTATATGCTCTTTTAGATCTTTACATTATAATAAAAAACCAGTTTTCTTAAAAATTAAGGAATGCAATAATATAATTTTGGCAAGGGAAAGAAAAAGAAGAAACGGCCTCTGTTAAATAAGCTGTCAGGGTTCCAAGTAACAGCCTGGTTGAAATCAAAATTCCAAGGCCAGAGGCTTCCTCAAAGTATAGATTTATTAGATATGTCATATTGGCACATCTGGTGAAAACCTGACTCTGAAAACCCTGGGTTTTCCCCCACCCAATTCAAAGTCCAAAGTTCTTCCCTCCATTACACACAAGTATTACATGCCTCAATCAAGTCCCTTGATCCTGGAGTCCTCTATCCACTCCACTCCAGGTGGTGGTGACAATGTCATTGGTCCATAGAAGAAAGAAGTTATTTTAGCTATATGCTTCCCCACTATCTCTACTCATCCCTCCCTTTCCCACAGCTCCATCCAGCTTCACTGTAACAACCCTGAAGATGCTTAAAGATGGGTTGACATCAGTGTTATGGTCTCTGAGTTACCATCCAGATCTGTTGCAATATTAAACATTTTGGCCTATTTATTTATCTTAACAAGTCTTACAGCAAAATGGAGAGGGGGAACCAGAAAGAGAAGTACATAAAAAACAATCTATTTAACAAAAAGGTATATAATCTTGTGCTCCCACCCTGCAAAAAGGAGTGGTCAATATACATATTTTATTCACCAAATGTTAAACCAGTTTCTAAATCAACCTTAAAATGATATTTTAACATTACAAAATATAACATCTAACTTCACAGATGGACCTAACAATGAGAGGACATTCATTTGGTTGACTTGTTATTATCAAGTGAACTATCTGAATTTCCTAATCTAATATATACACTAATTTTTAATTGTTTTTCAGCTTTTTCACTTTTCTGAATTATATGTTGCTACTACAACAATAAAGCTATACAATAGAGTATATAATACATCATCAGAATGCATATTTTATGGAAAATTGCCTACACAAATGCATACATCACTGAGAAAAATGTACAAAATAAGAGGAAATTTATATAAAAATGTATGTCAGCTCTGATGCATAAAAATGTCTAGGCAAGCATTCCCACACAGTTTTACTTGGCATAAAAAAAAATTAAAATGCAAATTGTTATAGAAATAGGTGGAATAAACTCATGCTTGGAAAAAAATTGTCAGTGTTACAAAAAGCAGCCCAGGCAGGTTTCTGCATCTTTAGTCTGAACCTATTGTTATTGTAATTTCCTGTCTAATTCGTTTCCAATATTCTGAACTGAGAAGTCACCTTCACTCTCTTTATATTTTCAACTCACAAGCTTTAAAATAGGAACACTTCATGTTTGTTAGATTTCAATATAATGAATATATAACCATGAGTAAAAAGAATGCATCACCTTACCTGTCATATTGCAGTATACAAGAAATGGCCCTAGGGGACCACTCCCATCTGAATCGATGTAGTAAAAGGCTGAAATGTTCCCTCTGTGCTTATAAGCTTCACATGATTGCTCATATATAGCTGCAAAAGAACATCTTCCATTACAAATGTAAGAGCATCATTTTGAACTTTACTTGAGCGACTGAGCAATTGTGAAGACAGAAGCTGAAATCTTCAGCAAACCTTCAGTGTTCAAGTAAATAAGGAGAAAATAATGCAATAAAAGTTGCATCAACATTTGGCATCAGTAAACAACATTTATATCTAGCAAAAGAAAATAGCTGGGAAGGTGTTTCTCTTTACTTTCTAAGCAGTAAGCATTCAGATGAGAGTTAGTGGCCAACAACTCAATCAGAGAAAGCCAAACAAAAGATGTAATTATGAAGAAAAAACTGACATGGTGAACTAACATTGTAAGTGACCTATATTGTAAAGATTTATCCATATATAAAATGAATAGAATAGAATTCTTTATTGGCCAAATGTGATTGGCCACACAAGGAATTTGTCTTGGTGCAAATGCTCTCAGTGTACATAAAAGAAAAGATACATTCATCAAGAGTCAAGAACCATAAGATACAACACTTAATAATAGTCACAGGGTACAATAAGCAATCAAATGATACCAGGAAATATTATTAATGATTTGATTTTTAATAAGATCAGACACACACACACGCAGAGAGAGAGAGAGGGAGGGAGGGAGAGGGAGAGAGAAGTTACTGTATGTTCAAACCATGCCTGCAACTGGTTATTTCCTATAAGAATGTTTTGTGAAGAGGGAAATCAGGACTTTCTTGATAACAGGGGCCATTGGGAAGGGAATTCCCCAGAAGGCTTTAGAAATTCTGGAATAGAGTCCTTTCAAATTATGTTTTCAGTTTCATGTTTTCATTCAAGGACAGTTTTATCAATTTCAGGGTTGTACATTGCCTAGATCAGTGCACACACCTTAAAGTTGCTATGATTGAGAAACATTCATATTAAAGTGTTGGGGTGGGGAGGAAGTGCTGCTAAAGCTGAGCTTCTCCTTTGCATCCAAAGAGTAAAAACACCAAGCCCAGGGCCTGGTGGTAGGAAGAAATCCCCAGAACACTCACTGAACAAATTGCAAGCAAACACATCACTGCTTATATCTCCTCACACATCCTCCTCCTCAACATGCTTTGCTTGTCCAGATGGAAAGCTGCCTTTTGTTTCCAGGTAAAGCATGAGATCCACAATAAAACACCATATATTGCCTTCCTGCTGTCTGAGCAACAGGCTGTCTACAAGATCAAGACATGTCCACAGAAAAAATAAAGATGGTGTCTTCACAATTCAGGAAGCAGGCTGTGTGAATGAATTGCTTGCAGTATAATCAGGAATATTACAGGTAGTCCTTGGCTTATGACTATTTGTTCAAAGTTACTACAGTGCTGAATGAGGAAGATGTCTGATAGCTCTGTGGAATTTTTGTCATTGTAGTATCCACACCGTCATGTGATATCAATTTCTGATGTTCCCTGCCAGCTTCCCACAAGAAAAATCAGTGGGGAAGATGGCAGGAAATCATGATCAAGTGAGGTTCTTACAGCATTCTCATGTAATGATGGCAACTGGTATAGCCAGAGTTGTCATTGCTAAGTGACATTGTGTTTTACCACTGTGATGCATAGTGACTGTGATGACTCCCCTGGATGCTTCCCTAGATAGCTCTTCAGATGTTAGCTCAGAGGAAGCTGAACCAGTTTCAGGCATATCTGGAGGGAGATTGATCAATGGCTCCAAGCAGTCATCTGACAGGGATTTGGCTGAAGCACAGCTCCAGCAGGAAGCCCTCTGAGACTTCAGTTAGGGAAAGCATGCAGCTGAAGCTGGTAAGTGATGAGGAAGATGAATTGTCTTCTGCACCTGGTCTGAGAATAGGTAGGGCAGAGAAAAGGCAGGAGCACAGAAGATCATCCAGAATACTTGCAAGTAGAAAGACTTGCCTTATTGATGGACTGGACCAGAAGCTGGCTATTTAGCATAGCAAACAGATGGAAGCAATGCTGGGAACAATGTGTTCGTTTCCTAGCTGTGTGTTTTCTAGTCATTGTGATTCTTGCCTTGCTTTGGATTGACACCATGCCTTGACTTGGTTCATGTCTTGTGAACTGTGTATTATGTGGATTTAATTTTGCCTGGTGAGTTTATTTTGATTGGGAAAAGTTCAAGTGCCTTGTGGACTCATTGGCCATTGCTCTGTGGACTAGCATTGGTCTGCTTGTGGTTGGACTTAATTGGAACAGTTCTGGATTTTTGGTGAAGGGAATTGCAGGGAAATATTAATAAACCCACTCAAACTACAGTTATGTGTCTCTCTGTGTGTAAGCAAGCAGCACAGTGACAGAGTTTCCATTCTCATTGTAATTTGAGGACTCTTGTAAAAGCTTGATTTTTATAGGGTTGAATGCCAGCAATCTTGCAAGTATAATATTCAGCTTTGAATGGGAAACCAGGAAAGTGCTACATAAATAATTCTGATGATTGCATAAAATAGAATAGTACTATGCATTTAAAAGAGTACTGGAAAAACATTCAATAAACAAATACTACTGTGATCTAAAATGCAATGTTTAAATTATTATTAAGTATATTAAGACTTACAATAATGACATGTAGCCCCTGTGTAGCCTGTGTTTGCACAATTGCAATAAAAACTGTTCCAGGACTGTGAGCATTCACCACCATGTTCACAATAATTGGGCAGGCATCTATAAAGTCAAAATAAATATAACAATATTTTAGAATAACATTAAGGTAGAGTATAAATTTTATTGCACCTATTTATTAATAATATGAATTATGGGCAATCATTTCACCAATACATTAAGGTAATTAGAAAGTAATTATAAAGAAATAAGGGAAAAGGATTCAATATGAATTCAGGTGTTTGTGAATTGAGTGTAAACTTACATAATGGTGAGAATCATCAGCACTCTGGAATATTGTACTCTTATAATAATATATGACATTAATAATGTAGGTTTTTAGCAAATGTTATCTTAATGTATACCTTAATCAAAACAGCCATCATCTTTTATCACCCAATAAAAAGATAGAAATTTCTTCAAGTTGAGCTCAAGTTCCAGTGATTTAATAAGCACCTATATGTAATTTTCTGAGCAGTAACATGGAAGAGGTTTCCTACTGCTACCTTCTGAGGTTTTTATTTTAACTTGATAGTTTAACCTACAGACATACATTTCACGGTGTCTTAGATCCACTAAAAGTGATCCACTTTAGCTGTCTAAAATAGGTCAAATACATATTCTGGTTGCAAACTGACCATAGTGTACTTTTTATTGGAGGTATAAGAAAAAATAATTAAAACATTATCATTTTAAAAAGTCTAAAATTCTATTTTATGATCATCTCATCTGCTAGGTACTTAGAATGGGTGGGCATAAAATAAAATAAGATTAATTATATAATGCATGGAAAACCATTAATTTTATCTGAACCAATTTTTCCAGAGATGCTGGTTAAAATGACCAGATAAGTTCTCTTCTATCATTCAAATGCTAGAATGTGTTAAGAGAAAGAGTTATTAATGTATCCAATTAATTTATGCCTTTTTTCATCTATCTATCATCTATCTGTACTTCCATCAATCCTTTAGCCCTTTGGTATATCTATCTATCTATCTATCTATCTATCTATCTATCTATCTATCTATC